GGCGTCGTGTCCCGACCTTGGTTTTTCAAGGTCACGTTTCGGTGGGGGGGGGGGATGGATCGCTGGAACCTGTCCGCGGGCGCCTGTCTCTCTCTCTCTCCGTGGAGCAATGTGAACGGTGTCGTTTGCGTGTGTCCTTTCCCGCAGCGAAGAGGAATCCGCAGGCTCATGCAGGCGGCGGCGGCTGATATACAACGTTTTTTTTTGTTCTTTTTAGATTTCTGCTAACGATATTAATTATACAAACGCTAGGTTCGTCATCCTAGTCCCTAGTATCCACGATCGTTCGTCGAACGACATCGTCCGCGTTCCCAGCGAGTCCCGGTCCTGTATTCCGTCACACAGCAGGATCATGGGGACGACTAGGGACAGCCACTCGGCGCAGACTAATCCTGAACGGCGAGCCTTCCTGACGAGCATCCACGGACGTCCCGGATGTGTCGGAAGTAGGCGAGCTAGAGACAACGAGGGAGTATCCGGCTTGAGGCACTAGGACGCGTCCAGGGAGAGGCACTCGGCGAGGAAGTCCTCCATGGAACGATAAGCGTGCTCCAACACGCCTGATAAGGCGTGGTCTTCGTCCGCGTAACTCTGCCAACAATAATTGATCCTGATTTGTCATACTCCATGCCGTACGTACAGTAATGTCTCCCTTAATGACGCTCGGATTGTCCACTAAAATAGATAATTTGGGAAGAGGAGATACGATTATTCGAGCCTTGCGGCTCGTTTTTATATAATTGTGGACGATCTACAAGGTGTCCCAAAAATGTCTCGCAATCCGGAAATGGCGGGTTCCTCGGGTCATTTGAAGCAACTTTTTCCTTTACAAAAATTTTCTCCGAGGCACCGTTAACGAGTTATTAACGAAAAACAGTGACCAATAAGAATCGAGTACGGCTGACGCGAGGCGGCCCAGTGCCCGAAGCCCAGTTCCGCTCATTGGCTCGGTCGCCTCGCGCCAGCTGAGCTCGCCTCTCATTGGTCACTGTTTTTCGTTAATAACTCGTTAACGGTGTCTCGGAGAAAATTTGTGTAAAGGAAAAAGTTGCTTCAAATGACCTGAGGAACCCGCCATTTCCGGATTGCGAGACATTTTTGGGACACCCTGTATAACTATAAAAATAAACCGCAAGGCTCGAATAATCGTATCTCCTCTTCCCAAATTGTTCATTTTTGTGGTCAATCTGGGCGTCAATTAACAATTACGTCTACCCTCGCTGTTGATAATCATCGATTAATGAGTCGATTAATGCTGAACCTGCAGAGCTCTGAAAGTAACTAACTTGCGTGGCTTTCAAATAGTTCTTCTTCTTCTTGTTCAACAATTCCTGAAGAAGGAGCCTACAATGGAAGCATCTTCAAAGTAAGAGCCACCAATTGTTTCTTAAGATAAGGTCCTCACGATTTCAGCGATTAGGAAATAAAGATTGTGACATCGGTTATTTTGACCCGGCATGGCAGGTTTAGCGTTAAACGACCATAGAAAGAAGCCAGACTGGTCTTCAAGGTTCTACAGCCTGAAGGATTCCAGTTCCAATTTCACGTACCTGGTACCTAAAGATGATTCCCGCTTCGGACAGTGCCTTAGCGAAGGCGACGCCGTGCGTGTAAGGCGCTGTGAGGTCAGCTAGACCATGAAGAAGGTAGAGGCTGTGGCTCGGCACCAGCCTGGCTCGTTGAGTCAGGTCCGCCTCCACGTAACCCTTGTAATTGTCGGCTGGAGCGCCGAGAACTCGCTCCGTGAACGCGGAATCTGCATTCAAGGACTCGGCATTAACACCTGGTCGACATCAACGTCGACGTCAACGTCGACAACCGACGTCAGAATATTGGACCGTTGGGAAAGTTCGTTCCATCGTCTTTCGATTTAATGTAACTATGATCGGTGCATACAAAGCTCTGCGTCTTTCAGATCGAAGGAAACCTTGAAGAGATCGCTTCGTTCGTTATCCGTTAATTCTCAATTGAACAACAAACGAACTTCTCCCAACGATCCAATATGCTAACAGAAGCCGATCCTAATTGTATCATCCACGAACTCACTGTAATAGAGCCAATCCGCTATAGGATTCACAGCGACGCCGCATTTGAACACGTTCTCCTGGTTGCCCAGCACCATGGCGGTCACGTATCCGCCGTATCCCCACCCCCACACCCCCACCCTGGTCACGTCGAGGTACTTCAAGGTCTTCAGCAGGTGCTTCAGCACCGTCAGCTGATCCTGGACCTCGACGCCGCCGATCTTCCTGAAGAGGTCCCTCTTCCCCTGGCCTCGGGCGCCTCGTACGTCCAGCCTGACGTAGACGACGTCGTTGTGGCTGGACATGTAGGTGCCCCAGTCGATCTTGAAGCGGTCCGTGACCGCCTCGCTGCCTGGCCGACCGTTCACTTCGACCAGGACCGGGAAAGCCGCATCCCTGAGCTCCTCTCGCCACGACGGTGGCAGCAGAAGTTGAACTTGGGCTTTCCAGCCTTGGGGCAGCGGTACCTGAACAGGCATCGGGGTCATTTTCATTTGAGCCCTTGGACTGTATTCCGTGATTGATTCCATTTCCAGGGACTTCTTGAACGAGGAGCATAACAGAAGCGAAAGTGTTTAGCTACCTCGAAGCTCCTGTGAGTCGGCAGCGCCAGCTGAGACAGCTTGTCCCCCCGCTGGAGCCTGGTGTCGTAGAGCAGGCGCATCATCTTGTGCGAAGTCATCATGTGGATGCCTGCCAGAGGAAGGCCGGGTCCTTCGCAGTGCAGGACATAGTAACCTTGACCGCCGTCTCTGACCGGCGGACTGACGGATGCGCTGAAGTGCGTGCAGTTGGTGTAGTAGAATCTGCAGCAACAAGTGCGTTAACGTTGACCACGCGATGGCTTGCTATCTCCGACTCTATTATCTAGCCGTCTACCTGCTGCTCCAGAGGACCTCGCCCAGGTCGCAGGTCACGCACAACGGCTCCAGGCGACGAGGATCGTCGGCAGTGGGGTCACGCACCACGTACAGGTGCCTCTGACCCGGCCTCTTTTCCCTGGTGCCTAAATAGTACACCAGGTGGGCCTTCGTGTCCCAGGCTAGGATCTCGCTCACCTGGTGAACAAGCAACAACGTGAATACTGATCCGACCGGATCAGTTTGGATGGGTCGCTCACCTCGTAGCGACCGTGGGAGAGCACCGCTATCCTCTGTTGCGTGAGGGTCACGTGCTTGATGTGAGTGAAGTGTTCCTTGTCGCCTTCCTGAACGGTGGCTAACAGCAAGAAACTGTCGCCGTCGGGGGCGAACAGCGGGTGAGGTTGAGCATCCAGCCATTGTCCCTCTGGCGCTCTCTCCGCGTGAGTCTCCTCGCATTCCCATGATGGCGCACGGCAGGCAGTCACCAAGGAAAGGTTCTGGGACCTCGTCATCCACACGACTGCTATCTGGTTTGCGTCTTCGCCCACCCAGCCGGCTGATATTAAGTAGTACTCCCTGCAAAATGTGGTTGAGGTGCTGTAGATCAGTTTACTGGAACCTTGGTATGGGAGGCGATGGATTTGAAAGCTTCGCAGGGTGAAGGCTTCAGACTTGAAATATTTCGAGGGTCTGATTTGGACTTTGGGGCTTTGGAATCTGGGACTTTGGACTTTGGGGCTTTGGACTTTGGGGCTTTGGACTTTGGGGCTCTGGACTTTGGGGCTTTGGATTTTGGGATTCTGGACTTTGGGGCTATGGACTTTGGAGCTCTGGACTTTGGGGTTCTGACTTTGGGACTCTGGACTTTGGAGCTTTAGACTTTGGGGCTCTGGACTTTGGGGCTCTAGACTTTGAAGCTCTGGACTTTGAAATTTTGGACTTTGGAGCTCTAGACTTTGGATTTTGGGACTCTGGACTTTGGGGCCCTAGACTTTGGAGCTCCAGACTTTGGGGCTCTGGACTTTGCGACTGTGGACTTTGGGGTTCTGGACTTTGGGGCTCTAGACTATGAAGCTCTAGACTTTGGGGCTCTGGACTTTGGGACTCTGGACTTTGAGGCTTTGACCTTTGGGGCTCTAGACTTTGGGACTCTGGACTTTGAGGCTTTGGACTGTGGGGCTCTAGACTTTGGGGCTCTGGATTTTGGGGCTCTGGACTTTGGAGTTTTAGACTTTGGAGCTCTAGACTTTGGAAATCTGGACTTTGGGGCTCTAGACTTTGGGCTCTGAACTTTAGGACTCTAGACTTTGGGGCTCTAGACATTGGGGCTCTGGACTTAGAGTTTTCGGACTTGAAATATTTGGAAGGTCTGGGATTTAGACTTCGAGGCTTTGTACACGAAATCTTCGAATTTGAAGGCTTCGGACTCAATCGCTCCAAATTCAAAGGCATCGGACTTAAAGCTTCCGTCAGGTCTACCAAAGACTCTACTTCCGAAAAAGTGCCTTCACAAATTGCTTCAAACCAGCAACCGTCTAGGTCCACGTTCAAGTCACACTTACTGCCCATCCAAGACAGGCGGCGGCTTCAGCCTGGTCCTGTTTCCGAAGGTGGTGATCACGCTGCCGTTCGAGGTGGTCGTATTCGTCAGCTCCATCAGCCAGAGGTTGACCTCCGGATTGTGGGAGCCGGGGGTGGGGTACCTGACGGACTTCGAGGGCGGGAAGGTGCCCTTTCTGGTCGCAGAAAGCGGACTGGAGCTGGATCCGTCTTGACCTGGCTGCGTGCCGAACCAGGGGAACTCCAAGGCAGTGACCTTAGTATCGTTGAACGAGGCAAACAGCAGATGCGTGCCGTCCGGGCTCGGCCAGGTAGCTTCCGGCTGCGGCATCACTTCCTCCTGGTACAACCAATCCGGCACGCCGTTGTAGATCACGCCGGGAACACCTGTGTTGGTCAGTCGGGATTCCTCGGTCGCGGACGGCTCCAGTCTCACGAAGATGTCGTTGTCGGATATCATCAGGAGACCGGACGTGTTGCCCAACCAGACGGCGTGCTGCAACCGCGTCTGCTGCATCATCCGCGACAATCGGAGCGGCGTGTGGTGGCTGCAGACATATTGGAAATGCTGCAGATCGGGGAACATTTATTGGGCTGCTTGCTGTTTGAACGCGATTTTTTTTCCATTTTGCGTTTAGAAGAGAAAAATCGGGTGTCAAGAAGTCTGTCGAGTTCACTGTTTTATGGTAATTTATTTTCTTTGGTGGGTCGCTCGAGAAGGGACGTTTTTGTTTGGCCAACGGGGTGACAGGTTGGTCTGGCTTTTGGTTGGACACAAATGCGTTCGCATGTAATTTATAATATTGATATTTATTTTATATGTCTGAACTAATGTTTTGGGGGTTGGTAGATTTGTATACTTAACATTAAATTTGGAATTTCAGATTCTATGAATATTCTAGAAATATTCAGATAATATATTTGAGTACTCACTCGTTCGTGACGTCGTAGACTGTATAGAATGCAGTGAAAGTATTTCTGAACACCTGGAAACATAAAATTCTTTTAACGATTATGTTAGGTTATCTTACATTATGTTAATTATATTATGTTAGCTTTCAACATAGATGATACAAGAATAATTTACTGTGGAATTCGAAATACAATCGTAGATATACAGTGAATAAATCTTCCTTCAGCTTCTAAATGTACAATTATTGCCAAATTGTCCATTTTTGTTCGTAAGGAAAATTAGGGAGAATTTACTGTACAAGATGTCTACGAGAAGCGACTGCAAAAGTCCTAGAAAACTATTTACATTAAACTGTCCAGAACTGAACGCCACTTGCGATCCAATTAAATTCTCAACATATAAAGCTCCGAACTTCTTTCGCACGTGAAGAATTTAAATTATAATTCCAGGCATGCAGGATGATTCAGAAAAGCAACTGTAGGGATCAAATTATCCATCGTCCTGCAAAAGTATCCATAATAAATCGTCCAGATTGCAATGTCTTCCGCGATGCAATTTAATGCTTGAAATATAAACCTCTTAAAATTCGTTCGTCCTTGAACGATCAAAATTATAATTTATTATAATTAAACTTATTACTAAATCGTAGTAATCCCAAGAATGTCAACCGCGATCCAATGAAATTCCGAGAACACGAAAATCCAAATTCCCTGACGCACGATGTTTCGGTTCGCCGGAACTTTCCCCCGACATTAAACAGTCCGCGAGTCCTCTAACAGCTCCCGAGTCATCCTGCACAGGATCCTTCGGCTCGCGGCAATCATCGTTAAGTGGTCTAACGAAGGCCGTTTTCCCGACGGCATTACTCACCGGCTTGACATTGTGCTTGAACAACACGTAACGTAGGTCGGCGCTGAACTGGTAGCCTTGAACGTTCAGCTGTCTCTGAAAATAAAGTCGCAGGAGATTTACGGTTTCGTGTATTTCTCGGCCGCTGCTCGAATTTCCGGGCTAACAACTCCGACAGCCCCGCCAATCCGGCGAATCCGAGCGATCCCGAAGTTCCGACGCGTCGAAAAAAAGAAAGAAGAAAAAACACCGGGTCTGATTGTTCCGCGCGAAATCACGCGGCAACTTTTCCCGAATCGACGCACGCGACGCGGCGTTACCGAGCATTTATTGCGAATCTGGCCACCGCGGAGGTGGCGCAGATATGTTTCCTCTCCAGATCTGGCATACACAAGAAATTTAGTACCTACCCCCCGACGGAACACCTACGAGGGGTCCGAACGTGGGTAAATCGCCGCCTTCGCTCATCGTTCATTAGGCCTGTCTCTTATACACATCTGAGATGTGTATAAGAGACAGACGGAACACCTACGAGGGGTCCGAACGTGGGTAAATCGCCGCCTTCGCTCATCGTTCATTAGGCCTGTCTCTTATACACATCTGAGATGTGTATAAGAGACAGACGGAACACCTACGAGGGGTCCGAACGTGGGTAAATCGCCGCCTTCGCTCATCGTTCATTAGGCCTGTCTCTTATACACATCTGAGATGTGTATAAGAGACAGACGGAACACCTACGAGGGGTCCGAACGTGGGTAAATCGCCGCCTTCGCTCATCGTTCATTAGGCCTGTCTCTTATACACATCTGAGATGTGTATAAGAGACAGACGGAACACCTACGAGGGGTCCGAACGTGGGTAAATCGCCGCCTTCGCTCATCGTTCATTAGGCCTGTCTCTTATACACATCTGAGATGTGTATAAGAGACAGACGGAACACCTACGAGGGGTCCGAACGTGGGTAAATCGCCGCCTTCGCTCATCGTTCATTAGGCTGGGTACTGAAGACCCAGTCTTAACTCCGCGTCCGTGTAAGGAGTTTTGTGGTTTGCTTTGCCCCCAAAGTGCCACACGACAGCAATTGTACAGCGTGTCAGGCTAGGGGGCAGCGTTACCGAGCACGAGAACAAGTCGCCGGACGACATCGATCACGGCCCTTTAATTACGCGCTGCTCGGGGACGTTATGAATTACGTTGTTACAGCCCGCCGTCGGCCGGTCAGATGTTGATTATCACCGCGGCGTCCGTAGCTCATTACGCATGCATTAAATTCCCGCGAATCTCCGCGCACCCGGATACGTTCTATTCGAGCGATCTTGCTCGCTTGGTGTCTTCAAATCGTTCGCCTAATGGATTAAAAGCGTCCGCACCGGGTATCCGTGCGACGATGAACACTCTGCCATTCATCACCGTTCCCCGCCGAACCGCGATTCGTTATCGCTAAACCGTGGATGTTTACGCGGAATTAGCTGCTTCTAACCGTGATTTGTGCCGCCCGGAGTCGCCGGGAATTTCGGTTTTTGTGTTTTAGCAGCCCCGTTGCGGCGTGTTTAGCTCGTGTCCGCTGCTCACGGTGATTAATATTTAGTTTAACGAGTTTTCGCGCCGTGGCTCGTGTTTGATAGGATATTACGCGCGATACAGACCAGTTGCGCCGGTGTATTTATTTCAGCGCGATTTAATTGGGCCTGTTGCTCTACGTTAGGCACCGGCGATCATTTTCTTCACAAACGGCGCTTATTATGTTCGTTTTAAACAGTTGTTATTGAGCGCAATTATGATTATACTGCTGATTTATGTATGTTTACGATGCATTTTATGTATTCGTTTGTACTTTGATAACAATCAATACTATTTTTATTCTATTTCTGTCGTAAAAGAAAAGAAATAAAATGATGGAAATTGTATTAGATTCGCGGTATAATTAAAATATAATTCAAGACTTCGTTGCAATTTAATGAAATATAGATGTTAAAAAATATTGGTATTAAAAATATAAATATTAAAAAACATAGGTATTAAAAAATATAGGTATTAAAAAATATAGATGTTAAAAGATATATATAAATATCACTAAAAATGCAA